TTCAAATTTTAAGTACTTTGTCTTCCTCTTTCAGGCAGAACTGATCCCAGCAGTGGTGGGACACCTCTGTGAGGAACGTGGCAACGAACAAAATTGCTGCCCAGATACTACCCTTATTTCCTCTTTTGCCTGACACAGCTCCCTCTCAGGGTGTGTGGGTGTGTGTGTGTGCGCGCACACGCTCAAGAAACAACAAGAACCACACTCCCCAAAGGCCACCGGGCCTCCACGTTCTGTTCAATCAGCATTCCCCTGACATATTGCTTACCAAGGCCGCTCGTGGCCAGATCTCTGCCAGTGTATCTGACGGGGCCACTGCACCCGCTGTTTGCCAACAGCAGAGAGGGGACTGAGCTGCTGTCTTCAGAGGCCCCTTGACAAGGTCACTAAGACCTCAACGGCTTGTTATGCTCTGCATATGGGTCCCAGGAGACTGGAAGAGTCTAGGTCCCTCCCCCCAACCCCCGGGAGCTTGCTTGCTGGGAGGGAGGACAGTGAAACCTCATTGCCTCCATCTGCTTGTTGCCCGCAGCGCGGGCAGGGCCTGCCAAGGATGATGACCTCGTCAAAGGGCAAGAAGAACTTCTGGTTTCTGTGTGGCCACCAGGGGACAGGAATGGCTCTGATGAAGTCTGTGCTGGCACATGTGGCCTGAAAGCTAGAGACAGAGCCAGAAGCCCTGCCCCAAGTTTTCAGAATAAGGCAGGGCACCCATCCCATCCAGAGCTGGGCCAGGCACCGAGGAAGACATTCTCCTTTCTTAACATTTCTGCCCTGAGACATGTGCAGTGGTCTGTGACATCTAAGATGACCAGGAAGGGTCCTCCTCTCTTTCTGTCTCTCACATCCTTCAGGAAGATTTTTTAAAAATGTTTATTTTTGAGAGAGTGCAAGCGGGAGAGGTGCAGAGAGAGGGGGACAGGGGATTTGAAGTGGGTTCTGCCCTGACAGGTGACAGCGGTGAGCCCCACGTGGGGCTCGAACTCATGAACCACAAGATCATGACCTGAGCTGAAGTTAGATGCTCAAATGACTGAGCCACCCAGGTGCCCCCCTTGGGAAGATTTTAAGAGGGTCAGAGGGCCCGAGATCACCCTGAATTGCCCTCATCCCTCTCTGGGGCTATTCTAGATCAGGGTTCCAAGTCCAGCCCTTCAGGGATCAGTTGGTAACAACTGTGAGCCATAGGACAGTGGTAGTGGTGGGGACTGTATCCAGCAGGAAAGCACAAGCCAGATCTAAAGACATTTGAGTCCAGCTAAAACCAAACACATGTGACCCACACTAACTAAGTGTTCCAGTTGAGTTGACCCCGTGGTCCTTGGTTTTGTGTCTTTGGGATCTAGACTGAATGAGTCTACCTGAACAAAGTACCATGAGGGAATTCTGTGTCCCACTTCTCATCTGAAAGAAAAGAAGTGGGGACCAGAGGGTGAGGCAAGCCCCGGGGGTTGGCCAGTACTTTCCAGAAGAGGAAGAGGAGAGATCTGAAACCATGAAAATTTGAAGATGTAGGGAGGTGCCTCTTTTTTTTTTTTTTTTTTTTTTTTTTTTTTTTTTTTTTTTTTGAGCTGCGGACAGGTGATCAGGGAACTAGGACAAGTCAACACGGGGCCCCCTACATGAAGGACTCAATAGGAAATTGCAATGCACATGTGCCTGATTCATCTGCTCAGCCTTGTGGGATATCACGGTGGGGAGTGAAGAAAGGGCTGGTCATGGGCAGTGATCTGCCTCCCACTCATGTCTGGGTGAGGCCCCAGGAGGCCAGAGGCGACGTGGGAAGGAACAGCCGCCAGGGCTCATTCACGAGTGACGGGGAGACAAACCCTCTTTCCAAGGTGTAGCCTACTGCTGGTATTTCAAAGTGGTGCCAGATAATGTAGTTAGGTGGCCCCGTCTGAAAATAGCACTTCGCAAAGTGAGAGAGCCATCCATTTTCAATTCTGCTCTTCTAATGGCATCAAGGGAAAGGTCTCTGCTTCTGCTAGTCTGTCTCACCATTTTCCCCACACTTGCCAGTCAGCTTTGGCCTCAGCGCCTTTTGCAGGCAATCGTATCTAGAATTTGACAATATTTTTTTGGGGGGGGGGCTTGATTTTATTTCTTTTTGGCAGTTATCTTTGCATTATGGTAAGATGTTGGCCTTTCCATTTATAGTGGTGATTTAAAGTATCCTTTAAAACCTTAAGTACAAGTACGTGGTTAAGTACTGTACGAAGAAATAACTGTGGGGATGGTGGGGGGATTATGGTAACAATAATAGACCTGGCAGAGGAGTGACTGAGACAGTAGAACATGACCTTTGAAGTAGGTGAGGCTGCTGGTTGGGTCTTATCCGTCTTTTGAGGAGGAGGAAAACACAGATAACCACAGGAGGAATGAGTGGAAGAGTGTCATGAGTTTCAAGACAGCACCTAGATAGACACAGGTCTGGGCTGCCCAGCTCCCTCAACCTTCAGGATTCAACCCATGCCACTTCTTACAGGAAGTCCTCCAAGATGCCTGGCTCTGAAGCCATCTCTCTTCCCATACACTGATCACCATCCACTTTCTCTGGAACCAGGTATGTCATCAGAGATGACAAAAGTGGATGCCTGTTGGGGGTGGGGGAAGAAGACCTGTAGTGAACTGCAGGGCAGATGCCCCATTTCATGGTTGATAAGCAGAAATGCAGGCCCGGTGTGGCCACACTTTCCAATTTCTCAAGAAAAACTGAAATCTAAATTCTTATGTGAAATTTCACTATTTTTAGCATTGACAACAAATGTTCACTATGTCTGGGGGCTGGATCCTGTCTTGGGCACCCTCAGGCAACACAGAGGGAAGATTCCAGGTGAAGATGGCCATCAAGCTGCAGAGCCCTCACACCCAGATCCTGAAGATGACGGAACCGAAGATGCAAAATCACAGCTAGAACAAGTTGTGCAAGTCATGTGTTTCTCCATAAGACCGGGCCCTCCTGGCTGGCAGGAGGGCCCTGAGTCATCAGACCCTGCCTGACCAAGGCCAGCCCCAAAGCCCTGACCACATTGGTCTGGGGCAGGTGAATGAGAAAACCCAAAAGGTGTCCACCATCCAGGGAAGTGAGGCAGAAGTCTGGGCTCACATAGCAGAGATGTCCCCAAAGAGACATGCCTAGGAGGGGGTTTCCAGGTGGGACCTAGGGAGGGAAGGTCACTGTGCTGGGGGACAGCAGGCCTGGTAGGAGAGCGACTTCAGGCAGTGGGAGCACTGTACTGGAGAGGCGGGGATTCCACCTGGGGATGGGCTTTGACAAACTTGCTCCAGAATGGAGAGGGATGCCTCGGGTGCTGAGTTGGAAAAGGTGGGTAGAGTGTAGAGAGGCTATTTTAGGCAGGCCTGGGAGTGCAAAGGCCAAAGGCCAGGAGGCTGGTGGAGGCAGAGCAAATGAGGGCAGCAACCTGACTGAGCTCTGGGAGGCAGGCACAGGCTTGGGTGGAGAAGGCTGTATTCAGAGGTTGCAACAGAGGGTTGACGAGGCAGAGAGGGACAGGAACTTCAGGCAGAGAGGAGTTGGGGACTAAGAAACCTTGCATCTCTCCGTAAGGGTAAAAGTTTATATTTGGGATAGCCCCTGCAGTGCACGCACCCTCCTATTGAAAGCATCTTCCAGCCTCTGGTGTTTCCATCTCAAGCCTCCCCAACCCCGTCCCATTCCTACGCCCGGTCCTGCCCCAGGGCTCCCAGAGAGTGTGAGGCGGCCCTTTGAGCCCCAAGGCTGACGGGCGGGACCCGGGCGCCCCAAGGACTCTCTGGGTGGAGATGCTCGGGCGGGAGCCGCACCTCCGAGGTTGGGCGCCGCTCCTCCGAGGTTGTGCGCCGCGAGGGCGCGGGGCGCGTCCGATGGTGGCCGGTGGCGGGGCTCCCCCCCGCCCCCCCGCCCGGCCCGGCCCGGCCCGGCCCGGCCAGCCGCGCTTCTCTGC